TGGTACCGGGTGGTACCAGTTGGTACTGGGTGGTACCAGTTGGTACTGGGTGGTATTGGGTGGGACCAGTTGGTACTGGGTGGTACTGGGTGGTACCAGTTGGTACTGGGTGGTACCGGGTGGTACTGGGTGGTACTGGGTGGTACCAGTTGGTACTGGGTGGTACTGGGTGGTACCAGTTGGTACTGGGTGGTACTGGGTGGTACCAGTTGGTACTGGGTGGTACCGGGTGGTACTGGGTTTGACCGGGTGGTACCAGTTGGTACCGGGTGGTACCGGGTGGTACTGGGTGGGGACCAGTTGGTACTGGGTGGTACCAGTTGGTACTGGGTGGTACCAGTTGGTACTGGGTGGTATTGGGTGGGACCGGGTGGTACTGGGTGGTACCAGTTGGTACTGGGTGGTACCAGTTCGTACTGGGTGGTACCGGGTGGTACCAGTTGGTACTGGGTGGTACCGGGTGGTACCAGTTGGTACCGGGTGGTACCAGGTGGTACTGGGGTGGTACCAGGTGGTACTGGGTGGTACTGGGTGGGACCGGGTGGTACTGGGTGGGACCGGGTGGTACCAGTTGGTACCGGGTGGTACCAGTTGGTACTGGGTGGTACCAGTTGGTACTGGGTGGTACCGGGTGGGACCGGGTGGTACCAGTTGGTACGGGTGGTACCAGGTGGTACTGGGTGGTACCAGTTGGTACCAGGTGGGACCGGGTGGTACCAGTTGGTACCGGGTGGTACCAGTTGGTACCGGGTGGTACTGGGTGGTACCAGGTGGGACCGGGTGGTACCAGGTGGGACCGGGTGGTACCAGGTGGTACTGGGTGGTACCAGGTGGGACCGGGTGGTACCAGGTGGGACCGGGTGGTACCAGGTGGTACTGGGTGGTACCAGGTGGGACCGGGTGGTACCAGGTGGTACTGGGTGGTACCAGTTGGTACTGGGTGGTACCGGGTGGGACCGGGTGGTACCAGTTGGTACCGGGTGGTACCAGGTGGTACTGGGTGGTACCAGTTGGTACTGGGTGGTACTGGGTGGTACCAGTTGGTACTGGGTGGTACCGGGTGGTACTGGGTGGGACCGGGTGGTACCAGTTGGTACCGGGTGGTACTGGGTGGTACCAGTTGGTACTGGGTGGTACGGGTGGTACCAGTTGGTACTGGGTGGTACCGGGTGGTACTGGGTGGGACCGGGTGGTACCAGTTGGTACCAGGTGGTACTGGGTGGTATTGGGTGGGACCGGGTGGTACTGGGTGGGACCAGTTGGTACTGGGTGGTACCAGTTGGTACTGGGTGGTACCAGTTGGTACTGGGTGGTATTGGGTGGGACCAGTTGGTACTGGGTGGTACTGGGTGGTACCAGTTGGTACTGGGTGGTACCGGGTGGTACTGGGTGGTACTGGGTGGTACCAGTTGGTACTGGGTGGTACTGGGTGGTACCAGTTGGTACTGGGTGGTACCGGGTGGTACTGGGTGGACCGGGTGGTACCAGTTGGTACCGGGTGGTACCGGGTGGTACTGGGTGGGACCAGTTGGTACTGGGTGGTACCAGTTGGTACTGGGTGGTACCAGTTGGTACTGGGTGGTATTGGGTGGGACCGGGTGGTACTGGGTGGTACCAGGTGGTACTGGGTGGTACCAGTTGGTACTGGGTGGTACTGGGTGGTACCAGTTGGTACTGGGTGGTACTGGGTGGTACTGGGTGGTACCAGTTGGTACTGGGTGGTACTGGGTGGTACCAGGTGGTACTGGGTGGTACCAGTTGGTACTGGGTGGTACTGGGTGGTACCAGTTGGTACTGGGTGGTACCGGGTGGTACCAGTTGGTACTGGGTGGTACTGGGTGGTACTGGGTGGTACCAGTTGGTACTGGGTGGTACTGGGTGGTACCAGGTGGTACTGGGTGGTACCAGTTGGTACTGGGTGGTACTGGGTGGTACCAGTTGGTACTGGGTGGTACCGGGTGGTACCAGTTGGTACTGGGTGGTACCGGGTGGTACCAGTTGGTACCGGGTGGTACCAGGTGGTACTGGGTGGTACCGGGTGGTACCAGGTGGTACTGGGTGGTACTGGGTGGGACCGGGTGGTACTGGGTGGGACCGGGTGGTACCAGTTGGTACCGGGTGGTACCAGTTGGTACTGGGTGGTACCGGGTGGTACTGGGTGGTACCAGTTGGTACTGGGTGGTACCAGGTGGTACTGGGTGGTACCGGGTGGTACTGGGTGGGACCGGGTGGTACCAGTTGGGGGTGGGTGGTACCAGTTGGTACTGGGTGGTACCGGTGGTACAGTTGGGGGGTGGTACTGGGTGGTACTGGGTGGTACTGGTGTACTGGGTGGTACCAGTTGGTACCGGGTGGTACTGGGTGGTACCAGTTGGTACCGGGTGGTACCAGTTGGTACTGGGGCTCTGAGCTGCGTTGCGACTCGTAGTGACAGTCTCGGTATCGTGTCTCACATCAGGATGTCTGATATAAAATCAGACATTGTTCTATCTGTCGGTGTTCCGACCCAGTCGGCCTGTAGAACCGGGCTTTTAGCAGAATGATTATTTAAAGTCAGAGTTTCTCTGCAGCCGAAGCTTTTCTGTTTTTGGGTCATGGAGGTTTTTCTGCTATTGTGAGGCAGAGAAACTGAGTCATTATTAGACGGAGAGTCAGGCTGATTTATTTAGCTAAATTTAATAATTTAGCTAAATTATTATTGTGGAGGAGCAGAACACGTCTTCTGACATACAAATAAAAATAATAATAATAAAAAACACAAAGGGCATCAGAGATAAAACGGGCTCATGACCCTGTCGACCCCCCTCCCCCGTTCCCACTTCCTGTGCCTGTGACAGAGATGGAGGAGTGGAGGGAATTCAGTCCATGAGGGAACTCAGGTTACAAACATGTCAGCAGAACATTTCTGATGACCAATCAGAGCAGAACATTTCTGATGACCAATCAGAGAGCAGAACATTTCTGATGACCAATCAGAGAGCAGAACATTTCTGATGACCAATCAGACGGTAACAGGAGGAAACTTACTCTGCAGGTTTGGGTCTCTGGAGGTTTTCCTCTTCTGGCAGACCAGCAGTCGGTCTGTGAAGCTGGAGCCCAAAGGTTCTGCAGACCAGAAGGAACATCAACTCATCCATCTGTGACTGAAGCTACAGCTGACTGTGACCTCTGTTGACCCTGTGTTGACCCTGTGTTGACCCTGTGTTGACCCTGTGTTGACCCTCTGTTGACCCTGTGTTGACCCTGTTGACCCCGTGTTGACCCTGTGTTGACCCTGTGTTGACCTGTGTTGACCCTGTGTTGACCCTGTGTTGACCCTCTGTTGACCCTGTGTTGACCCTGTGTTGACCCTCTGTTGACCCTGTGTTGACCCTGTTGTTGACCTGTGTTGACCCTGTTGACCCTGTGTTGACCCTCTGTCCCTGTGTTGACCCTGTGTTGACCCCGTGTTGACCCTGTGTTGACCCTGTGTTGACCCTGTGTTGACCCCGTGTTTGACCCTGTGTTGACCCTGTGTTGACCCTGTGTTGACCCTGTGTTGACCCTGTGTTGACCCTGTGTTGACCCTGGTCTTTGGGATTACAGGAACTCTAACGGTTCTGGATCCTGGTGAACGGATCCTCTCTTCAGAACCTGGATCATCAGATTGGTGGGTTTTTCTGGCCCAGTTAGCAGCTTGTGATGTTCTGGATCTACTGACCTCCAACACTGAGCGTCACCATCTTCATGTGTTGGACCTCGTCCCCGCTGTAGACGGTGCATCTGTAGAGGCCGTTGTCTTGAGGACGGGGACGCTTCAGGACCAGACCGACGTCTCCAGACGTCAGCAAGTCTTTGTCCATCTCTGTGCGGCCATGGTAACCCAGGCTGTGTTTGGGGGAATGAACTTCTCCGTTCTTAAGGTGATGATCTCCGTCTGTTTGCAGTCAGGACGGGTCCACTCCACCCTGACGTCCTCGTCCAGAGGAGCAGGGATTTTAAAAGGAAGTGGCACCAACGGTTCCATCTGTGACCTTCACGACCTCCGACTGAAAACCTGAGGACCAGAGCAGAAGGTGATCCGTCCAGACCGAGCAGAGCTGGGTTCTGATGTGCTGCCTTCACTGACCTCTGAGTATGAGGACCACCACTTTCTGCCGGAGGATCTTTCCATGCTCATCATAGACGGAGCAGGAATACACACTATTAGTCAGACACACATTACTGATAGTCAGACTCAGGTTTCCAGTTGTCATCAGCTCTTCATTCATCGTGTGGCCTTCACTGCCCTCAGCCTGTGCTGGTGAGTCCTGGCCTTTGCAATGTCTGCAAAGCAACTTGTTCCCTCGGTCTGATAGGTTCCACTCCACAGCGGAGGATTCAGACAGCAGGAGAGGCGACACCTTAAAGGGAAGAACAACCGACCTTCTGCCCTCCTCCACAGACACCTTGTCCACCTGGTGGACTGAGAGCAGAGCAGGACATGAGACACACCATCATCCTGGACATTTACTGACCTCCGTGATGCGTTTACTGACCTCAGTGATGCGTTTACTGACCTCAGTGATGTGTTTACTGACCTCAGTGATGTGTTTACTGACCTTTGATGCGTTTACTGACCTCAGTGATGCGTTTACTGACCTCAGTGATGCGTTTACTGACCTCAGTGATGCGTTTACTGACCTCAGTGATGTGTTTACTGACCTCAGTGATGCATTTACTGACCTCAGTGATGTGTTTACTGACCTCCGTGATGCGTTTACTGACCTCCGTGATGCGTTTACTGACCTCCGTGATGCGTTTACTGACCTCAGTGATGTGTTTACTGACCTCCGTGATGCGTTTACTGACCTCAGTGATGCGTTTACTGACCTCAGTGATGCGTTTACTGACCTCAGTGATGCGTTTACTGACCTTTGACATTCAGCATTAGAACTTTCCGCTTCAGTATCGTCCCGTCTTGGTCGTTGTAGACGGTGCAGATGAAGACGCCGCTGTCCGCCAGTCGGGGTCGTTCAGGGTCAGGTGAGGTTTCCGGTCCTCAGAGCATCAGGACTCATCTGGGTCCGGTTCAGATACTCCTGGTTCTGTCTGTCTGGCTGGTTGTGATGGTTCTGATACTCGTGGACAGAGTTCTGCTGGTCGGTGCGGCTCCACACCACTTTGCTGTCTGCAGGCAGGTCAGCTGCGGTTTGAAACGGCAGACGGACAAACGCGTCTCTGTCTGCGACCTCCACCTCCTCCATCAGGCTCTCTGTCAGGAGCACCAGAACCATTTCAAACCAAACGGAGATTTAAGGAGCCCTGCTGGTTCTGGACCCTTACCATAGTGGTGGGCATTGCTAACTACAATGCTACCTGCGTTAATATTGGAGACAGGCGCATTTGTCCTACCCAAAAATTTACCACAGTTAAAAAACATTTTGAAATCTTCCACTTGCGTGCTTTTATTTTGAAGGCAGACACAGGGCTCCTACCTCTGAACGGCTCAGTTAAATTTGTTTCACAATTTGGTAATCAAAGAAACCTGATCTGAAATAAAATGAATAAAAATGGGATCAAAACTGTTTGAACTGTCATGATTTTTTTTCAGTAAATATTAATTTTTTTCCACCTGCTTCGGTGTTTCCAGTGAAGTAATGACTGTTTTGCTCTTTAGATTTCATCTCCTCCCTTCATGTTGTTTATCAAAACTCATTGTGTTTCTTATCTTTTCTTAGTAATGTGATTTGGAGTAATTAGCATCTTTAACTCTCACGTCACTGATTAATGAAATGTTTTCCAGCTAGCAGTGACTCACTGCAGCTAATAGCATCTTTCTGCATCCAGTCAACCAGTTGCTGACAGAAATATTTCTCCTGCTTATTGACCTCGGTGGCCCTGAATCTTGCGTTAAGCTTTGAGTTTTTATTTTGGGAAGACTTTGTATTTTCCTCTGTGGCTGATTGGTTGATTCTTTCTGAGCTGAGCTCTGTGTAGCAATATGGAAGCTGCAGTTCAGAGTATTTCGTCCACCGACCAGAAATGTCCAGATCATCCTCACTGTAGACGGTGTTGCTCCTTTTCTCTCGCTGACAGACAGATCAGACTCACCTCAAAGCTGAACAGAAATCTTTCTCCATAGTCTCTCCAAACTTGTCACACATCTGAGTTTTTACCTCAGCAACCAGCCAATCCTTGTACTTCCATCCTATTGGCTGCTTCTGGGTCCCACATGCATCATGTGTGTCCACTAGCAGGCTCCATGGTCCCCCCCCCCCAACAGGCCCAGATGGACCACAGCTCCAGTTAACCTCCTATGACTCAATGACACTCGCCTCTGCAGAACATGTTTGAAACTCCTGGAAGTGAGAATTGATGCTTCATCTGATTGGAAACTGCCAGAAGGTCTGCATTCCCAGCAGGTCTGACCGCCATCCTCCCCCACCACCAGAGCCAATCACCACCAGGTAGTGGTCAGTGGACAACTCCGCACCTCTCTTCACCCAAGTGTCCAAGACATACGGCCACAGATCCGACGGAACGATGACAAAATCGATCATTGAACTGCAGCCCAGGGTGTCCTGGTGCCAAGTGCACATATGGACACCCTTATGCCTGAACATGGTGCTGATCCACTTGCCTACCCCTGCCCGACGCCTCTCACTGTGGGCAACTCCAGAGTGGAAGTACATCCAGCCCCTCTCAAGGAGACTGGTTCCAGAACCGGAGCCAGGCGTCGAGGTGAGACTGACTATTTCTAGCCAGAACCTCTCAGCCTCACACCAGAGAGGTGACATTCCACGTCCCAAGAGCCAGTTTCTGTAACCGAGGATCGGACCCCTCCCTCGGCCATCACCCATCACACACTGCACCCGACCCCTGTGACCCTTCCTATAGGTGGTGGGCCCATTGGAAGAGGGACCCATGTTTCCTCTTCGGGGTGAAAAGGTCCCAGCCACAAGGCACTGGGCTGTGTGCTCCACCCACAGCTCCACCCACAGCCCAGTGCAGAGGGAATCCCAGGGGTCAAAAGGTCTTTAGGCTCTGTGTCTGACCTTAGGCTGACCCTCCCAGGGAAGGTTTCATTATGAAAACAGGTTTTAGATCTGATATATGAATGTATCTTTATGGAGTTTAAGAATTAAACACATTCTATGTATCAGGTAAACGGTGGAAATATATATCAATGCTGAACTGTGATATCAGACTGACCTTTGACCCTGAGAGTCACAGTTTTCTGCAGCAGCTTTTCTCCTCCTCTGGAGACCAGGCAGTCATAGACCCCAGAGTCGTGGATCTGGGGGACCCTGAGGGTCAGGCTGAAGTCTCCGGTGTCCTGCAGGTCTGTCTTCATCTTGGTCCGTCCTCGGTAGACGTCCTCCTGTTGCTCAGACTGAGTCTGGCCGTTCTGGGACACATGGACCGTGACGTTCCTCTGCCCAGGACGGCTCCACTCCACTCTGACGCTGTGAAGACGTTTCTGAGTTTTAACCGGCAGCAGGACAGACTTCAGTCCCTCTCTGATCTCCACCGTCTCAGATGGAAGCACTGAGGAGAAACCAGAACATGGCAGAATGTAAAGCAGAGAGACCCGGCTGGACGCCACAGAACCAGAACCTGAGGAGAACCTCAGGGTGGACTGGATCCTTCTGCAGCCTTTATGTTTTCAGACATCAGCTGGTTGATCCTCTAGTGACCGACATACCTGCTGTGAGCCTCTTTTTTAATCTGTACATCAAACCAACAGCAGCGACCACCAGAACCACCAGAACCACCAGAACCACCAGAACCCAGGGCCAGACTGGAGGAGGAGCTTCTGCAGACATCATGAACACAGAGCGGTTCTGAACATGTTGACCTGCCTTCAGAGCATTCAGAGAACCTGCAGCACTGACCTTTGACCTGCAGCTCCACGGCCTGCTGGTGCAGCTCTTCTCCAAGCCTGCGGACGGTGCAGGTGAAGGTCCCGCTGTCGGTGAAGGTGGGTTTCCTCAGGGTCAGACTGAGGTCTCCGGTCTGCAGCGCGTCCTCCATCATGGCCGTCCGGCCTTCATAGCGCCGGTTCTGGTCCTTCAGGTAATCGCCATCCGGCTGGCGAACATGGATCGTAGGGATCCTCAAGTCATCTTGGTCCCAAACGGCTGTAGAACCATTAGACTGAGAAACCTTGACCTGACAGGGCAACTGGACAGACTCCGCCCCCTCAAACACCTCCACCAACAGTCCTGAGACATGCTGGGAACCTGAGGACAGAGACAAGAGACGATCTGAGGAGAGCTGATGGTTCTGTAGTAGAACCCTGAGGAACCGATCTGCTCATCCTGGTTCTGCTCTGCCTGACTCAGACTCAGCCAGAGTCCAGGGATGCAGAACCAAACACACTGAAGCAGCTTCAGCTTCTATTCTGCTGCAGGACTGAATCCCCAATTCCAAGGTTTGTCAGGCTTCCTGGCCATCGGAGCAGAAAGAGGGTTAAAGAGCAGCAGGAGCAGGAAGAAGGAACAGGAAGCAGGAGCAGGAAGCAGGATCAGCAGAGCTGGACAGCAGCAGACGGTTCTTCAGGATGTTGCTGTGAAACTCTTCAGTTCAGAGGTTGAACTGTTAGCAGCAAGTTTCTGACCATGTTATGCAGTAACAGAGTTCACCAGAGTTACATTTCTCCCTCAGATCTGTTGTTGGTAGGATCCATAATGCAGCTATGATCCGTATGATCCATATGATTTATGGATCCATATGATCCAGCAGCAGAACCTCGGTCAGAACCAGAACCGGCCTATGATTTATGGATCATATGGATCATAGCTGCATTATGGATCTAGATAGAGCAGAACCAGAGAACCTTCCATTATTAATTTATTAACACATTTGAGCAACACGGCAGTTCAAAATACTTTACATCATAAAAATTAAAGTAATCTGTTCCCTCTTCAAACCATGGGAACAAATTAATTTATTAGAAACTCTTTAACTTGCTTTGGACACATTTGCTCTTCATTTATCAAAGACGCCTTTGGATTTAAACTATGTTTCCATAACTGCCTTATATTAAAGTCTTGTAAGGATTAATAGCAAAAAGTTTTCAAAATGGAATTTATTTACAACTTTCATCCATCCATCCATTTTCTGTTCATCCTTCTCCCTAATGGGGTCAGGAGGAGCTGCTGCATCTCCAGCTGCGTTCTGGGGGAGAGGCGGGTCACCAGGTCACCTGGAGAGGTCACCAGTCTGTCGCAGGGCAACACAGGTACAAACAGGACAAACAACCATGCACACATTCAGCTAGGGAGAATTTAGAGAAACAGTCATGTTTTTGGACTGTGGGATGAAGCCGGAGAACCCGGAGAGAACCCAGCATGCACAGGGAGAACATGCCAACTCTGTGCAGAAAGACCTGGGGCGGGAATCGAACCCAGGACCTTCTTGCTGCAAGGCAACAGCGCCACTGTGCAGCCCTTTTTACAACATACAAAATGGAATTATTTTAGTCAGCTAAAATATCTGGTTCCCTCTTCAAAACCCTGGCATCTAGGAAGCAAATGTTATCAAAATCACAGGATTTATTGGTGATGATGATGATGATGATGATGATGATGATGATGATGATAAGAGGAATAAACAGAGAAAATCTTGCTGGTAAGTTAATTTATGGAGGGGAACAGATTATTTCATCCATTCTTTCCTCTCCTTCCTCCAGAACTTTGGGGAATAAAGAGCAACTGTTTGAAATTCTCATAAATCTTTTCATGCGCACTGCATGCTGGGAAACTGAGTTTGGTGACTGACTTATTTCTCTTGGCGTTTAAAATAAAACAAAACTGCGTCACAAGATCTTGTTTATTTATTTATTTATTATACAATTTTTAAACAACAGCTGCAAATTAAACTGAATGTTAAAACCTTGACATGATTATATGAGTTATTTTACCGATAAATCAATCAGAATCGATCGTTAAAATGATCAGATTCGCCTCTATGGCTGCAATGCGCGTTCCCGACACAGGGAACAGATTTTCACAGGGGAACCGAACCGAACTTCGCCTCCACAAGACCGGACCGCTCCTGGTTCCGAGTGTGTTGGGTTCATACCGAGCAGCAGGTCACTTACCGAGAAGAACCGGAACCAGAACCAGAACCAGAACCAGCAGCTGCTGCTGCAGAAACATCTCAGAGCCTGTAATCCTCGGTCAGAACCAGAACCAGAACCAGGACCTGAAAGTCCAGATCGGACTTCAGGAGATTTTCAGTTTTTTCTTTCAGTTTCGAATCCCGCAGTGACGTCACAGAAGGCATTTCCCAGGTTCCTGGACTTCCGGTTTGACGTCTGAAAACTTTCCAGGATGAACCAGATTTAAAGCCTCATCTGGTTCCTGATATTTATATTCAGAAATGCATAAACCAGAAGCATTAAGAAATATAACCATTTACACTGAATGCATAAACACTGCGTTACCCATGATGCATCTGTTTGTAGTTTCACTGTCATGCAGCTGAGAATTTATTTCTGTAGAATAAAATATCATCACCAATAGCATCTTGAGTGTGTTTTATGATATAACCACACACACACAAACTAATATAATCACATCATAAACTCACCTGCTTAACAGAATATTTTCCATATTTGATCAGTTATTATGTGAAGCCCTTCGATCATTTGATAAATTCTAATTCATGCCCCGGACTGGTGCGTGAGACATGAAAGAATGAATCGCTCAGAGGATCAGAACCACCCGCGGTGGGTGGTTCTGATCCTCTGAGCTCGGGTCCTCTACTAGCGGCCTCTACCAGAGGCCTCTACTAGAGGATATATATCTATATATATATAGAACTATATATCCTCTGAGCTTCTACCAGAGGCCTCTACTAGAGGATATATATCTATATATATATAGAACTATATATCCTCTGAGCTTCTACCAGAGGCCTCTACTAGAGGATATATATCTATATATATATAGATCTATATATCCTCTGAGCTTCTACCAGAGGCCTGGGAGCTTGAGGGTCCTGCAGTATCTTGGCTGTGCCAAGGACTGCTGCACATTTCTGGACTGAGATGTCTGATGTTGTTCCTGGGATCTGTTGTAGCCACTGCTCCAGTTTGGGGGTTACTGCCCCGAGGGCCCCGATGACCACAGGCACCACTGTGGTCTTCACCTTTCAGGCCCTCTCCAGTTCTTCCCTGAGGCCCTGGTATTTCTCCAGTTTCTCCTTTTTCCTGATGTTGCAATCACTTGGTATTGCTACATCTTTCCTCAATGCAGCATTGATCGTTCTCGATGCTGCATTCACATTTTCAATGAATGCAGCATTATCCCCTCACTGGGTGGGGACTTGTAGTTCTTACTGATCGTTATTACGGTAACTGGAAACTCCATTGCCCCTTTTCTGCTGGCTCAGCAGGGAGTAGAAAGAGTGAGGGAACGTGTTGAGCCCAGCAACAGCAGTTACGGTAGCTCCTTGTGCTACTATTAACGTTATAAGTTTTAACTACCATAATTTTAATGGAGCCACAATCTAAATCAGTTTGTCAGTAAACACTTTTATTACTTTTGTCAGTTTTAAGTTCAGTTACCACTGTGGGCTTTTTGTTCATTAACAGAAAATACTAACTATTCATGTTTGCTTGCTTACAAAGTATGAACACAATTTGCCCCCATATTTCTGACTTTTATTATTATTAGTAGTAGTAATATTACTACAGAGTCCTGCTTTTATAATTGACTTTTAATGTTTAAATGTTAATAAATGTGTAAACTGTAACTTTCCCAGTTTCTTCATTTTATTTTGATAAATTTGCTTTTTTTTTTTTTATTTTTTTATCGCAGAGCGAGAAATATCCCCAGATTTAGTCTTGGAAATCTGGTGACCTTAGTGTACATTACTTCTGCTTCCACTCACCTCATTTCTTCCATCATAGTTGGTAAAGAACCGCCTGTAGAAAAAAACTTTCATCTGTTTAATGTGTTGGTTTGTTTGTTGGAGTTTATAGTTTTTGTCAGTCCAGACTCGGTTAATTACAAATATCCAGAGGTTCAAAGTACGATTTTTCAAGATATTAAATCCAAACAGTTTACAATAAAATGTCAGTAAGCCTTTGTAGTGATTAAAATCTCCTGGTTAAACTATAATGTTTTACCGTTGAAGTTTTAATCAGGCACAGATTAAGACACCTTATTTAGGCCCAATCTCCCGCCCTCGGAGGCTGTTGATCCTGATTGGTCAGAATGTTTAGAGGCGGGACTAAGACGCTGGCCTGTAAATCCACGGGCTCCGTTATCCTTACATACAGCAGCTAGCTATTATCTCGGCGTTTTGGTGAAATTTCTTCAGTTTATATGACGTCACGGCCCCCTTCACGGTGCATGGACACGCACGCGGACACGCGCAGAGCTGTGCGGGATTATATTTCCGGTCAGACCTGAGGAGTTTAAGGGGTTTTAGTGAAGGGGCGTGTGTTAGCCACAGGAGGCTAGCTGCTGCTAAGTGTTTTTTTCCACTGTGCTCATTAATTATTCATGAGGGCGCATTGCTATTGGTGTACGAACAGGAGGGGGCGGGATTGTTTTAGAGGCGAAAGTTGTTTGGTTCCATAAACCAGAGGAAGAGGAGGAGACTCGGTGAGTTTGATCTTCATCAGGCAGACCTGCTGAGGTTCTGTCTCGGTTCGGTCCAGCTGTAGTAACCGGGTCTGCGGTGCTGGAGGTTCTGGAGCTGCTAACCTCCATCTGCATCAGATTCAGGTCATTCAAACACGGAGAGTTAGGAGGAATTTAGAGTTTAATTATTTTATTTATTCCATATTAATGTGGGGATCATGAACCTCACATTTAACTTTATTTTAGTCAAACTCATCCACAGTATGGAGAGAGACAGTTTCCCATGTAACTGTGACCTGGAGAGGTCAGAGGTCACTGCTCCTGCAGCTCAGGGATGGAGAAGGGTCAGTGGAGGGCATGAAAACTTTAGAGAGACGGGAAAAAATAAACAGAAAATGATTAACTAATGACAAGATTAATTCATTATTATTTAAATGTTTAGAAGAATATCATTAATGTCATATGAGAACCAGGATGATTAAAATCTCATGTTTCCTTTTCCAAACTGTAGTTCATGTTTAACTTCCTCAGAGGATTAAATGTGTTTATTGGTTTAACTTGTTATTATTTTGATAATCAATCACTTTAAATAAACTCATTAAAATAATCTGTTTCTGTTTTTTATAATGAATCTCAGTGTTTGGACCCATCCTGAGGTCAAAGGGCTCCAGGAACTCAGTAATTATCACTATGGCAACCAGACAGTGGTTAGCTTGTCTCTGATTGGCTGTGCCTCTGACTCCTCCCCCTCTCTCTATGCAGATCTCTGATTGGCTGAGCCCTCACCAGGATGTCTTTGGAAGAAGGGCTGGTCAGACTAAGCCCCGCCTTCCCTCCTGTCAGCCTATCAGAGCAGCTGGATAAGCCCCGCCTTCCCATCCATCCTAAAAATGGCCACCTGCCCCCACCTCCTGCTCCAGCAGCCAATCAGAGGATCAGGAAGAGGCGGTTCTCTGTGGGCGTGGGCTTTAAAGGCGTGGCCAAACGCCGTCGCCGTGTCAACAGTGAGAGCCAGGCGGAGCCGGTGCTGCAGAGTCACTTCCTGTTGGGGGGGAACATCTTCGACCCGCTGAACCTGAACTCCCTGCTGGATGAGGAGGTCAACAGGTGGGGGAGGGGTGGATGGGGGTTTCAGGGTGTGCTGGTGGAGCAGAAGGCGATGGAGAACCACGGTCTAGTCAAAGTCTAGGGAGAGGATAGGAATGTCCACAAGGTTCTAACTGAGTCACTGTTAGTCTAGCTTCAATTAGCTTAGCCTAGCTTAGCATACCAGTGCTAAGTCAACAGATTAATATTTCTATTGGCTGTCTGAGCAAAGGTCAAAGGTTAGCAAGCTGAACTTTAACTTGAAAGCAGCTGATCATCTGGACCAGAACCCGGGCCTCTGGGTCCATCAGTAGAACTCATCCAGGCTCCCTGACCGGGTCAACCAGAACCGGCCAGTGGAACCACTGAAGAGCTGCTGGTCCGGTTTTGGATGGTTCTGACTTCAGGTTCTGGAAGGAGAAGATGCATTCAGGAGCATCAAGGAAAGATCAGCTGCTGGTGGTTCTGGACCAGGTGGTTCTGGACCTGGTTCTGGTCGACCATCATTACTTCAGTGTCCTGATGTCTCGTTGTGGACAGCAGGACGCTGTCCACAACGAGACAGTGCCTGATTGGTCGTCCCTCCCTTCCTCCCTCAGGGCGACCAATCAGGAGACGCCGCGCTGCTCCCCCCTGCCGTCTCACAGCAGAGACGCCGTGGACATCCTGGTCCCCCGGGACGTCACCGACCCCCTGAACCTGAGGGGGGGGGACGGGGACGCCGCCGCCGTCCTGATGTCCTCCCTGAAGTCCCGGAGGAGACACCGCTACCGACAGCATGGGGGAGGAGGGCAGAAGGAGGAGACGCCCGCCATGTTCCTGCCCTCAGCCGGACCCTCAGGTAACAGCTGCAGCTCCTCCTGCCTCCACTGGAGGCGCTGTCCTCAGGGTTAACTATCGAGTTTCTTCCAGTTCCTGCGTCTCCTCTGTCCTGTGAGCTCAACACCTCCATCACCTGCCGGGACGATATGGCTCCGCCCCCCATCCTGCCGCGCAGACACACCCACCCCCCGCCAGGGAGCCGCCGCCGCCGCAGCGCCTCCAGCAGGTCGGCTGATGGAGGCGTTGCCATGGCAGCCAAGTTCCAGACGCCGCTGGTGGGAGGGGCTAAAACCAGCAGGTGAAGAGCTGCATCCTGATTGGACGGTTTGCATAGAGCTGTGTTCTGATTGGTCTATGGGGTCATGTGACCTCCCCGGTTCCACCTGCAGGTGTGGAGGACCTGGTCTTGGCTCCTCCCCCACATCAGAGAGGAAGACGGCCCGGCGGCGCTACAGGCACCGCTGCCGTTACTATGGCTACTACGGTTTCTACGGTGACAGCCAGGAGGGGCGGGTGGGGGCGGAGCCTGACCCGCGGCTCCACCTCCTGCAAGCCGATTGGTTCAGAGACCGGACGGTTCTGGACTTGGGCTGTGGCGCCGGTCACATGACCCTGGCCATCGCCAGGAGCTTTAACCCCGCCCACATCCTGGGGGTGGAGCTAGACGGGCGGCTGGTCCACGCCGCCAGGCAGAACGTCCGTCACTTCCTGTCACATGACCTGGTGGCCTCACACAGACAGGAAGTGATGCGGGTGGCGCCTCCCCTCCCCGTGTCCTTCAGGATCAGTCGGGGTCCTCTCTCGGCTCCGCCCCTTCTACCACCATCATCATCCTCCTCCAGGTTTCCCGACAACATCACCTTCATCCAGGTGAGTCTGTAGGTGTCCTCTGCACTGCCTGATGGATTTATTGTTTACCTGTAGAGCATGTGGGCCTCACCTGTACTCAACCTGTCTGACTCCACCCACAGGGTGACTACGTGTCTGAGGGGGAGGCGTGGCCTGGGCGGGGCCAGTATGACGTCATCATGGTTCTGGGCGTCACCCACGGGGTGCAGCTGCAGTCCGGTGACCGGGGCGTGGTCCGGCTGTTCAGACGGGCCTATCAGAACCTGTCGCCGGGCGGAACGCTGATCCTGGAGCCGCAGCCCTGGAGCGGATACGGCCGCAGCAACAGGGTGAGGAGGGGAGGGGCAACTGGTTCTGATGGGTCCAGGTGCCCCTGGTTCTGACCTGGTTCTGTTGGATCCCAGGACTCGATGCCACGTCACTTCAGAACCCTGAGGCTCCGACCAGAACTATTCACCTCCATGCTCACCGATGACATCGGCTTCACCTCCTACAGACCGCTCACACACACAGGTAACACACACACAGGTAACACACACACACACACACACAGGTAACACACACACAGGTAACACACACACACAGGTAACACACACACACAGGTAACACACACACACAGGTGGTAGCTAGCATGCTAGCTCCCCTGCAGTCTCTGCAGCAGGGTGGGCTCTCCTGGTTCTCGAGATTCTCCTGCAACTTTTAGATGTTTCTACTTCAACACACCTGAGTCAAATAATGAGGTGATTAGCAGAACTCTGCAGAACTTGACTGCATTTAGGAGGTGAGTCAGCTGTTGGATTCAGGTGTTGGACCAGGGAGACGTCTTGCAGGACAGCGGCCCTCCAGGACCAGGAGTGCCCACCATGATCTACAGGTTGATGATCATCCTTCTGGTTGATAATATATGTTGTTGTAACATGAGTGTCTCTGCATTTCCTTCATGGTTCCTCCTCACTGCAGCTACTTTAGCGTTAGCATTAGCCCAGCAGGCCTGGAGGCTCACATCCAATTTCTGTCTGGAATCTGGTTTTTGTCTGGTTGTTCATGATAATAAATAACTGCAGTTAGACTCCAGGTGAACAGATTCTGACCCCAAAGCAACCAAAGAAGAAGAACGTAGCCGTCCACCAGCATCACTAAAGATGGCAGTAAAGATAGCCGCCGTCTCTAGATGGATTGTAAAGTTGCTGAGAGCGACAGCACGATCAGCAGGAAGCTAACAGCAGCAGCCTTTAGTGGAGCCAGAGCTTCTGACCCGGTTCTGCTTCTGACCCGGTTCTGCTTGGAACCGGGTCAGCTTGGGTGTTGGACCAGCAATGGTCGGTTGGGATGTGATCCTTTCACATGTTGATTTACCGTACTCTTCTTCTGCTGCTGAATTCTGACGCATGTTGGATAAAATGTGACGTTCCGCCTGCAGACATGTTGAGAAATATCGGATTGAAATAGAAAAGATCGGATTATTGCTGAAAGATCGGAATCGGCCGATCTGCAGAGGAAAAGTCGTATTTGGTTCAGATTCTCCTGCTGTGAACTTTAAACACTTCCTGTCAGACCAGCAGCTGTATGTAAACATCATTACCCAGCATGCAGAGTGAATATTATGACATCACATCGTCTAACTGAACCGTGATGGTAAACTGACTCTGATTGGTCCAGCCGCTCATGTGACCTCACCTCTTTCTGACCCGTTTCCAGGTAACCAGAGACCCATCTACCTGTTCCACAAGGGCTCCACCCACAGGAAGTGACATCACTGATGGATCTGCTTGGATGGGAGAGCCTCAGCAGGAAGTAATGTCATCTCTCCAGGGGGTCAGACTGAACTGAGCATGCTCAGTGGGACCCGTTGGAGCGGTCATGTGACCTCACTCTGATTGGAGAGGAACAGCAGGAAGGAAGTGACTGATCTTTTCAAAATAAAACCTGATTCTTTTTCATAATAAAGTGGGCTGAGCTGCTGCTGTATTGGTTCTGGTTCTGATCCGGTAGTTTGGGTCACACAATAAACAAACTAGGAGGTAAAATGTGTCCGGCCCGGTTCAGTGGTTCTGGTTTTGAGTAAGTCCTGATGGGTCCAGAAGAAAACACTGCAGGAGGAAATGATGGCCCGGCCCGGTCCGGTCCAGATGAGGAGTCCATGGTGCCCCCTATGTCCCCTCTATCGACCAATCAGAGGGAGCTGTCCTGATCACATGCCGCCGTCAGCGCCCCCTGATGTCCCATCAGAGGACCACCTGTAGTGTCCATGTGGACCGGACCCGGCCAGAATCAGAACCTCCATGATGCAGGAGAACCGGGTCAGAAACATAGAGAGTGATGGGATCAGTTACTATGGTAACTGGACGGACCACCGGCCAATCAGAACCTGCGGTGAGAGACGAGGACGTCTGATGGAGACATCATCAGATCAGATGGTCTGCAGCAGGATGGACAGAAGACACGACATTAACCCATGTCCAGGTGTGTCCTCAGCTAACAGCATGTGGCTAATACCATGTAGCTAACAGTATGTAGCTACAGCATGTGGCTAATAGCATGTAGCTGAGAGCTATTTGAGTCACCGTGGGACAATCAGCCCAGAACATTCAGTTTTAATCTGATTTATCCATCTACAGAAACTCTTTAATGATTTACATTTCATTTCCTTTTTGCATCAATAAATTATTCTGGAACCGATTCTCTTTGATTGGACCTGTTTGGGTCTACATCTGGATCAGAACCGATTGGCTGCAGACTGGCTCTTCGGTCTGGTTCCTTCAAACCGACCTGACCTTCTGGTGGAGACACATGGTTCTCCTCTGGGTCGGCCCGGTTCTGAAGCGGTTCTGATCTGATTGTTGTTGGGAGCTGGTTCTGACCCGAACCAGAGAGCAGACTTTATGTCCAGCATCAGAACCTTGCCATCCAAACAGAACTTGAGGACAGAGATGGAACCCAGTTCACCATTTTAGACACCAGAGGTTCTGATCCACTGAGTCCCTGTAGAACCTGGACTCCTGGTTCTGATTCTGTGTCTGGACTCCTGGTTCTGATTCTGTGTCTGGACTCCTGGTTCAGGAACCAGAGCAGAACCTGGTGACCCGACATTTTGGACCAGGTTCTGTTCAGACCCGGTCCGGTTCAGTTCCTCTCTCCTCCACATGGGGGCGCTGTGTGTGACCTCTGACCTCTTTATGAAGATAAAACAGGAACTCTGATGGATGTAAATATCTTTATTAATCTGATTATTGATTATTGATGGTTTAACATGAACTTCAATCAACTACATGGTTATTATAAAGGTGACCAGCAGGGGGCGTGGCCTCTGCTACAGGGCCAGCTCTAGCTCCGCCTCATCACCATGGAAACCAGGAAGGTGAAAGGTCGTCCCATCTGCCCCCTCCAGGCTGTCGTCTGTCAGAGGATGAAGGTCGTTCCTCTCCTCTTCCTCAGCTTCGCTGGCGTCTCCACCTGCTGATGGCGGCGTAGCTCCGCCCACGCCGCCCAAGTCCCCGCCCACTTCCTGGCTGTTCTGGAGGTGGAGCGAGGCCTGCAGCATCACCTGTGGGAGACAAGATGGTGGGCGGGGCTTAGAGGAAGGGGTGGAGTTATGCGGGGTTAAAGGTCGAAGCCATGCTGATGATGTCACCTGATCTATTCCTCCATCTGTCAGACTGGTGGTGCTGGTGTTACTGGGAGGCAGCAGCAGCTCAGAGCTCTGACACACACACACACACACACACACACACACACACACAGTCGGGTCAGCTGACCTTTCCACAGGAAGTGATCTCTAAGAAAAGTCGCCTCACCTCCTCAGAGTCCATCTGCTCCACCGCCTGCAGGAAGTGACATCATCAGATCACAGACATGATGTCACACAAGAGATTTATGACCTCAGAGGACAGCAGGATGTCCAACAGGGAATGGACAGAGAGTGTGTGTGCGTGCGTGTGTTATTGTGTGTGTGTGTGTTATTGTGTGTGTGTGTTATTGTGTGTGTGTGTGTTATTGTGTGTGTGTGTTATTGTGTGTGTGTGTTATTGTGTGTGTGTGTTATTGTGTGTGTGTGTGTTATTGTGTGTGTGTGTTATTGTGTGTGTGTGTGTTATAGTGTGTGTGTGTTATGGTGTGTGTGTGTGTGTGTGTTATTGTGTGTCTGTGTGTGTGTGTGTGTTATTGTGTGTGTGTTATAGTGTGTGTGTGTGTGTGTTATAGTGTGTGTGTGTTATTGTGTGTGTGTGTTATTGTGTGTGTGTGTTATAGTGTGTGTGTGTGTGTGTGTGTTATTGTGTGTGTGTGTTATTGTGTGTGTGCGAGTGTGTGTGTGTGTTTAGTGTGTGTGTGTGTGTGTTATAGTGTGTGTGTGTGTGTTATAGTGTGTGTGTGTGTGTGTTATAGTGTGTGTGTGTGTGCGTGTGTGTGTGTGTGTTATAGTGTGTGTGTGTTATAGTGTGTGTGTGTGTGTTATAGTGTGTGTGTGTTATAGTGTGTGTGTGTGTGTTATAGTGTGTGTGTGTGTTATAGTGTGTGTGTGTGTTATAGTGTGTGTGTTATAGTGTGTGTGTGTGTTATAGTGTGTGTGTGTGTTATAGTGTGTGTGTGTGTTATAGTGTGTGTGTGTGTTATAGTGTGTGTGTGTGTGTTATAGTGTGTGTGTGTGTGTGTGTGTTATAGTGTGTGTGTGTGTTATAGTGTGTGTGTGTTATAGTGTGTGTGTGTGTGTTATAGTGTGTGTGTGTGTGTGTGTTATAGTGTGTGTGTGTGTTATAGTGTGTGTGTGTTATTGTGTGTGTGTGTGTGTTATTGTGTGTGTGTTTGTGTGTGTGTGTGTTTGTGTTATTGTGTGTGTGTGTGTTACAGTGTGTGTGTGTGTTATTGTGTGTGTGTGTTATAGTGTGTGTGTGTGTGTGTGTGTTATAGTGTGTGTGTGTGTGTTATAGTGTGTGTGTGTGTGTTATAGTGTGTGTGTGTGCGTGTGTGTGTGTGTGTTATAGTGTGTGTGTGTGTGTTATAGTGTGTGTGCATGTGTGTGTGTGTGTGTTATAGTGTGTGTGTTATAGTGTGTGTGTGTGTGTTATAGTGTGTGTGTGTGTTATAGTGTGTGTGTGTTATAGTGTGTGTGTTATAGTGTGTGTGTGTGTGTTATAGTGTGTGTGTGTTATAGTGTGTGTGTGTGTGTTATTGTGTGTGTGTGTTATTGTGTGTCTGTGTGTGTGTGTGTGTTTATTGTGTGTGTGTGTTATAGTGTGTGTGTGTGTGTGTTATAGTGTGTGTGTGTTATTGTGTGTGTGTGTTATTGTGTGTGTGTGTGTGTGTGTGTGTTATTGTGTGTGTGTGTTATAGTGTGTGTGTGTGTGTGTGTTATTGTGTGTGTGTGTGTTATAGTGTGTGTGTGTTATAGTGTGTGTGTGTGTGTTATAGTGTGTGTGCATGTGTGTGTGTGTGTGTTATTGTGTGTGTGTTATAGTGTGTGTGTGTGTGTTATAGTGTGTGTGTGTGTTTTAGTGTGTGTGTGTGTTATTGTGTGTGTGTGTTATTGTGTGTCTGCGTGTGTGTGTTATTGTGTGTGTGTGTGTTATAGTGTGTGTGTGTTATAGTGTGTGTGTGTGTGTTATAGTGTGTGTGCATGTGTGTGTGTGTGTGTTATAGTGTGTGTGTGTGTTATAGTGTGTGTGTGTGTTATTGTGTGTGTGTGTTATAGTGTGTGTGTGTGTGTGTGTTATTGTGTGTGTGTGTGTTATAGTGTGTGTGTGTTATAGTGTGTGTGTGTGTGTGTTATAGTGTGTGTGTGTGTGTGTGTGTGTGTGTGTGTATTATGGTGTGTGTGTGTGTTATAGTGTGTGTGTGTGTTACAGTGTGTGTGTGTGTTATTGTGTGTGTGTGTGTTATTGTGTGTGTGTGTGTGTGTGTGTGTTATTGTGTGTGTGTGTTATAGTGTGTGTGTGTGTGTGTGTTATTGTGTGTGTGTGTTATAGTGTGTGTGTGTTATAGTGTGTGTGTGTGTGTGTTATGTGTGTGCATGTGTGTGTGTGTGTGTTATAGTGTGTGTGTTATAGTGTGTGTGTGTGTGTTATAGTGTGTGTGTGTGTTATAGTGTGTGTGTGTTATTGTGTGTGTGTGTTATTGTGTGTCTGTGTGTGTGTGTGTGTTATTGTGTGTGTGTGTTATAGTGTGTGTGTGTGTTTTTGTGTGTGTGTGTTTTTGTGTGTCTGTGTGTGTGTGTGTGTTATTGTGTGTGTGTGTGTTATAGTGTGTGTGTGTTATAGTGTGTGTGTGTGTTACAGTGTGTGTGTGTTATAGTGTGTGTGTTATAGTGTGTGTGTGTGTGTTATAGTGTGTGTGTGTTATAGTGTGTGTGTGTGTGTTATTGTGTGTGTGTGTTATTGTGTGTCTGTGTGTGTGTGTGTGTTATTGTGTGTGTGTGTTATAGTGTGTGTGTGTGTTATAGTGTGTGTGTGTGTTATTGTGTGTGTGTGTTATTGTGTGTCTGCGTGTGTGTGTGTTATTGTGTGTGTGTGTTATAGTGTGTGTGTGTGTGTGTTATTGTGTGTGTGTGTGTTATAGTGTGTGTGTGTTATAGTGTGTGTGTGTGTGTGTTATAGTGTGTGTGCATGTGTGTGTGTGTGTTATAGTGTGTGTGTTATAGTGTGTGTGTGTGTGTTATAGTGTGTGTGTGTGTTATGGTGTGTGTGTGTGTTATTGTGTGTGTGTGTTATTGTGTGTGTGCGTGTGTGTGTGTTATTGTGTGTGTGTGTTATAGTGTGTGTGTGTGTGTGTTATTGTGTGTGTGTGTGTTATAGTGTGTGTGTGTTATAGTGTGTGTGTGTGTGTGTTATAGTGTGTGTGTATGTGTTGTGTGTGTGTTATTGTGTGTGTGTTATAGTGTGTGTGTGTGTGTTATAGTGTGTGTGTGTGTTTTAGTGTGTGTGTGTGTTATTGTGTGTGTGTTTTTGTGTGTGTGTGTGTGTGTGTGTGTTATTGTGTGTGTGTGTTATAGTGTGTGTGTGTGTGTGTGTTATTGTGTGTGTGTGTGTTATAGTGTGTGTGTGTTATAGTGTGTGTGTGTGTGTGTTATAGTGTGTGTGTGTGTGTGTGTGTGTGTGTTACAGTGTGTGTGTTACAGTGTGTGTGTGTGTTATAGTGTGTGTGTGTTATAGTGTGTGTGTGTGTTATTGTGTGTGTGTTATTGTGTGTGTGTGTGTGTGTGTGTGTGTTGTGTGTGTGTGTTTTAGTGTGTGTGTGTGTTATTGTGTGTGTGTTATTGTGTGTGTGTGTGTGTGTGTGTTTTTGTGGTGTGTGTGTTATAGTGTGTGTGTGTTATAGTGTGTGTGTGTGTGTTATAGTGTGTGTGTGTGTTACAGTGTGTGTGCATGTGTGTGTGTGTGTTATTGTGTGTGTGTTATAGTGTGTGTGTGTGTTACAGTGTGTGTGTGTTATAGTGTGTGTGTGTGTTATTGTGTGTGTGTGTTATTGTGTGTCTGCGTGTGTGTGTGTGTTATTGTGTGTGTGTGTTATAGTGTGTGTGTGTGTTATAGTGGTGTGTGTGTTATTGTGTGTGTGTGTTATAGTGTGGTGTGTGTGTGTTATTGTGTGTGTGTGTGTTATTGTGTGTGTGCGTGTGTGTGTGTTATAGTGTGTGTGTGTGTGTGTTATAGTGTGTGTGTGTGTGTATAGTGTGTGTGTGTGTGTGTTATAGTGTGTGTGTGTGTGTGTGTTATTGTGTGTGTGTGTGTTATAGTGTGTGTGTGTTATAGTGTGTGTGTGTGTGTTATAGTGTGTGTGCATGTGTGTGTGTGTGTTATTGTGTGTGTGTTATTGTGTGTGTGTGTTATAGTGTGTGTGTGTGTTATAGTGTGTGTGTGTTATTGTGTGTGTGTGTTATTGTGTGTCTGCGTGTGTGTGTGTGTTATGTGTGTGTGTTATAGTGTGTGTGTGTGTGTGTGTTATTGTGTGTGTGTGTGTTATAGTGTGTGTGTGTTATAGTGTGTGTGTGTGTGTTACAGTGTGTGTGCATGTGTGTGTGTGTGTGTTATAGTGTGTGTGTTATAGTGTGTGTGTGTGTTATAGTGTGTGTGTGTGTTATAGTGTGTGTGTGTTATTGTGTGTGTGTTATTGTGTGTGTGTGTGTGTGTGTGTGTTATTGTGTGTGTGTGTTATAGTGTGTGTGTGTGTTATTGTGTGTGTGTTATTGTGTGTCTGTGTGTGTGTGTGTGTTATTGTGTGTGTGTGTGTTATAGTGTGTGTGTGTTATAGTGTGTGTGTGTGTGTTATAGTGTGTGTGTGTTATAGTGTGTGTGTTATAGTGTGTGTGTGTGTGTTATAGTGTGTGTGTGTTATTGTGTGTGTGTGTGTGTTATTGTGTGTGTGTGTTATTGTGTGTGTGCGTGTGTGTGTGTGTTATTGTGTGTGTGTGTTATAGTGTGTGTGTGTGTGTTATAGTGTGTGTGTGTGTTATTGTGTGTGTGTGTTATTGTGTGTGTGTGTGTGTGTGTGTGTTATTGTGTGTGTGTGTTATAGTGTGTGTGTGTGTGTGTGTTATTGTGTGTGTGTGTTATAGTGTGTGTGTGTTATAGTGTGTGTGTGTGTGTGTTATAGTGTGTGTGCATGTGTGTGTGTGTGTTATAGTGTGTGTGTTATAGTGTGTGTGTGTGTGTTATAGGTGTGTGTGTTATAGTGTGTGTGTGTTATTGTGTGTGTGTGTTATTGTGTGTGTGTGTGTGTGTGTGTGTGTTATTGTGTGTGTGTGTTATAGTGTGTGTGTGTGTGTGTGTTATTGTGTGTGTGTGTGTTATAGTGTGTGTGTTATGTGTGTGTGTGTGTGTTATAGTGTGTGTGC